CCAAACTTTCAGTAAGTTCAATTTCATTCTCGAAACTTGTGACTTTCCCCCTAATTTCTCTTTTAATGCTTCTTAACAATTTCGTACAATTCGACTAGTCTTTAATTACTCCAAAACAAGTCTAGTTCGACTAAAAAACTTCCTTTTTTTGCTCCAGATACCTTTAAATCCGAGTTTTGCCTACATTGTAACATTTCCACAAAATTAAGTACAAATTCACTCACTTTTGCAAATATATTGAGCTAATAAGCATGAATAAAACACGTTTATCAGCCAACATCAACATTTCATAAATAAAAGTTAGTGTAAAAAACTTTGGTCATGTATAATATGGAAAAGGTTTATATTGAGGACTCAATTTTTAATGTAGGTAAATGCTTGTATTGATGAGAGCATAAATATTGAATATGATACAGTATAAAAAATTTAGGGAGTGTGTGCAATATTATAAAAATGTAAAAGAAAAAGGAGATTAAAACTGGCAAGTAAGATTTTTATTAATTATAACTAACATTAACATACAACATATCCGCAGTCTCACTCTATTGTATACAAAATTTATACATAGAACACTATTAATCACCACATCCTATCACACCTTACATATATACTGTCACATGCATGTACATTGTAATAACACCTATTTACATATATACAATATTTTTTTCTCGATACAAGATGTCAGCACGAGTTACGTGTCACATAAGAAAAAGATCGGGTGCGAGGAGGTTCATATTAAAATATAGGGATTCAAAGACCAAACCTCCCCTGCATACTAGTCGCACGTGCATATATTAGTTTGACTCATCAATCACGTAACTCATAACTGACGCAAATCTTGTTTCTTGAACTTCAGTTTTTATAAAACCATCAGATAGGCAAATGGTTGCTATAATTCCCATTATCCGAATTGCTCATGAAAATCTGCATCTCTTCCACAAACTGGAAGGTGGTGTCCTTCGCGGCCTCTGCCCACAGGACAGAGTCATCAACCGCCGGCAAGCACATATTCATAATGTTCGCCATTTCTTCCCATCTCACAAATTCATTTTCATTAACATTAATCAGATTGCTGTTCAGGAATGCACCCTGAAATGGATATCCATCAACAGCTGGTAGAGAGGCAGATTGAGAAGAAAAGAGTGGATTTTCTTGAATATGCACTTGACTGTCATTGTTGGGAAAAACTGCAAACTGAAGATTCTCTTCATACAAATGAGGGAGATTAAGCTTAGCATCAGGACCGTACAGTTTCCAGGCGGCAGCGTCGTAAGCCACTGCAGCGTCATAAGAATTCTTGAAAGTCCCGAGCCACGTGCGATTGCCGCCATTGGGCTCACGGATTTCAGCCACCCATTTGCCCCAAGTGCGCTGCCTCACGCCTTTGAAGGGGCAGAAGGCATTTTCAGGGCCACCTTTGCCTCTCATGCACCCTTTCCTCGAGCTTGTCTGAGCGGCTTTCCTGGTCTTTCCTTCTCCCAATGCCATCACAGGTTTCAACAACTTTTTTCTAATAAAAAGCTTGAATGAGAATTTTTTTTGAATCAGTGAGTGATTTTCATATCTACATATGGAATGTGAGTCTGTATTTATAGGTGAAGATACACGGGCCCCCGGGGGGGGGGGGGGGTTTT